ATATTTCCCATTGTTTTGCTTCCTTCTGCATCTTTTAATGCTGTTTTTTCTTTATTTCTTTATAGTATCTTTATTAAGTGTATGAGAAACCATATTTCCCATTGTTTTGCTTCCATCTGCATCTTTTAATGCTGTTTTTTCTTTATTTCTTTATTGTATCTTTATTAAGTGTATGAGAAACCATATTTCCCATTGTTTTGCTTCCTTCTGCATCTTTTAATGCTGTTTTTTCTTTATTTCTTTATATTATCTTTCTTAAGTGTATGAGAAACCATATTTCCCATTGCTTTGCTTCCTTCTGCATATTTTTAAAGCTGTTTTTTGCGAAGGAAACGGCTCCTAAATGTCCCGGAAATCCTCACCTGGGCGGAGAATCCGCAGAAGAAGGCGAACCAGAAGTGGACGAAGGTGAAGGTGAAGTTCTTGTAGAAGAAGTAGCGCAGGAACTTGCACATGCGCAGGTAGGACCAGCGGCCGTGCACCAGCAGGAGGCGCTGCAGGAAGCGGAACTGGGCGAAGGAATAGTCGCTGGACAGAACGGCCTGCATGCCCTCCTGCCCCGAGATGCCCACGCCGATGTGGGCCGCTGCCATTTTGATTTAAATAAGAGTAGATTAGACATAGACATAGACATAGACAACTTTACTGTACTTTAAAATATAGAAATTAAATAAAAGTAAATATGTATGACATCGAAAGTCATTGAAAAATATATATAAAATATAAAAATTTTAATAAATTAAATATGTGTGACGCGGAAGTCATAGAAAAATATATATAAAATATAAAAAGTAAATAAAAGTAAATATGTGTGACGCCAAAGTCATAGAAAAATATTTATAAAATATAAAAATTGAATAAAAGTAAATATGTATGACATTGGGGTCATAGAAAAATATATATAATGTGGGCCGCTGCCATTTTATTACGATAAGAATAAATTAGACATAGACAACTTTACTGTACGGAGTGCACACAAAACGAAATTTTGATTAAGTTAAGTTAAATTAGATAAGTTTGGATTAGATTAAATTAGATTAAATTAGATAAATTAGTTAAAAGTTCAGGTATGTATGACATCGAAGTCATAGAAAAATATTTTAAAAAATATAAAATAGTTATAAAATATAAAAATGAAATAAAAGTAAATATGTGTGACGCCGAAGTCATAGAAAAATATATATAAGATATCAAAATTAATTAAAAATAAATGTGTATGACATCGAAGTCAGAAAAATAGTTGTATAATCTAAAAATTTAATAAAAGTAAATATGTATGACATAGAAGTCATTGAAAAATATTTATAAAATATAAACATTTAATAAAAGTAAATATGTATGACGTAGAAGTCATAAAAAAATATTTATAAAATCTAAAAATTAAATAAAAGTAAATATGTGTGACATTGAAGTAATAGAAAAATATTTATAAAATTTCAAAAAATAAATAAAAGTAAATACGAATGACATAGAAGTCATACAAAAATAGTTATATAACATAAGAATTACATAAAATTAAATATGTATGACATCAAAGTCGTAGAAAAATATATATAAGATATAAAAATTAAATTAAAAGTAAATACGTATGACATAGAAGTCATAGAAAAATATTGATTAAATTTAAAAAAATAAATAAAAGTAAATACGTAAGACATAGAAGTCATACCAAAATAGTTATATAACATAGAAATTACATA